ACAGCTCCTCAGCGAGGGTTGCGAGGTGTAAGTAAAAATTGAATCGATTCCGTAAAAAAAAAACGGGAGTCAAAGCTACAGAAAATAATTAACAACTTTTTTAACTTTGCAAGGCTACTCAGATTTTATTATTCGTACTCAATTTGAAATTAAACAGTATAAATTATTCTCACTGAAATCGGACGGATTTAACGTCGTTTCTGCGAAGAACGTTTGGTAATCATCAGGGTCGAGGCGTGAATGATCGATTTTCGATATTTCGCTATTTGAAGCTACGGTAAAGAATCGATTTTTAAAGTGTTCGTTGCAAACACCCTATCAATCGATCTTTTTCCGTAGGTTTAAATGGCAGGTCAATCGATATATCGCAGAGCACGCCACGCCACTGGTAATCCTGGCCAAATTCCTAAATCCTACATTTACTAAACCCACCTGGTACCTCTTCGCGAACCACAGAGGACTTTTCTTGCCCGCGTCCAGCGACGGGCAATTACCATCGGCTACATTAACTCGAAATTGTATCGCTTCGTAGCCTTGTTCCCGGCGGGGAGAAGGCTTAAAACAATTGGAAATCGCAGAACGTTTCGACCATTTCCGTGAATACGTTATTCATTCCTTAAAGTGAATATTCAAGAGGTTATTCAATGGGTTAATTTGAATAAGTGGATAGAGGTTTTGAATAGGTTAATTTTCGCTCGACAGTGTGTGCACTCTCGTCTTATTTGCGGTTTTCCCATTCTATTTTATGCAAGGACGAATATAAATATTTTTCGCGTGGGTGTGTGATCGTGTTCGGTGGGGAAAAAAGTATTCCCTGTACCTTAAAATACAGGGTGACGGCAATGGCGAGACGTGCATGATCGATTAGCGATATTTCCCCGTTTAAAGCTATGGTAAAGAATCGATTATTAAGGTGTTCGCTGCGAGCACCCTGTTTGTCGATACTTTTACATAGGTTTAAATGGCAGATCAATCGATATATCGCAAAGCACGGGCGGGAGAGGAAGCCGCGGGAGGGGGGTATCTGCATTCCTCCTCATTTCCTTCGTTCTGGGCGAGCTAATGATTCGAGTATAAAAAGTGTGGCGTGAGATAGATATTTTTGCTGTGAGGTGTTATTTTTTATGAAAAAGGGGGGAACAAAGCAGAAAAGCAACCACCATTTAGTGCTGATTTCAGCTTACCAAGTTTCTATTGATTTGGACACAGTTCGCACTAATATCGGCAGGGGAACAATGACAGAAACCGTGAAAATCCTGAGTTAAGAAATTTTTCCCTCGTTAGGTTGTCTATTAGACGTCAAAAGTTAACTTTCTGGATTTGATGATTGAATCGAGGAAAATCATAAACAAATTGAGATGCAACCATCAAACAACGCTTCTGGGACATGGAAAACTGACTCCTGATACTGATGAGCTAATCGAGCATAATGACGATAATGGTGCCGGTTTTTTTTTTAAAAAAAAAATTAAGAGGAAGAAAAATGGCACGAAAAATGAAAAGATCTCTGTATTTCGCCTTCAATTTTCGAGTTAGACCACAAAACATCCTCCATGCAGCAATAGTTATCTGTCCGAGGACTCATGTCATGTGATGTGTTGTCCATAATCTTACCTCTCTGTAAATTTTGTTGAGTTTCATCCATTGATTTCATAGCTGGTTAATTTTTCTGTCCAAGTACATATTATGATCATTACTAATGATGAAAAGAATTATTCACTTCCAAATTTCTATAGGGAAGTAGTGTTTCCCAGCTTGTGCGCAGAAGACACCACTGCCATAGTGATAACAACAGTTGGACGTATTTCCGCCAAACGGAACTACGTGCATTATGACGTGAGCCCTGTTATGTTCATATTCTTATGGGTCTCAGGGCTCATGATTTCATGCACATAGTTCCGTTAAGCAGAAATACGTCCAGTTTACCATCAACGAGCAAGAACCTCGAGCTAGATTTTATGGATACGAAATCATATTCTCTCGGCGAGGATAATACAGAGCGTTAAGAAAAGGACGCTGTCAGCGTTGAAACATTCCGAGGTTTCTCCTCAAATCGTAAGATCTTACCAACGACGGAACGGTCGCACAGCCGACGTGCCGTAGAAATACAGGGTTATTCAAAAGTCACGCACCACTGACTATAACTTTAGTTCTAATAATGATAACGATTTGCGGTTTAGGACATTTTTCCTCATATCAAGGGGGCACCTTTTTTAGGTACTTTCCAGTTTTTGAATCCCTCGGGGGGAGGGGGCGGAGGGTACCTCAAACATTTCAAATGGCCACCCCCCTCATGGCCAGTGGTGCTTGACTTTTGAATAACCCTGTATAATAGAAACAGAGAGAGAGAGACGGAGGAAAAAATTATGAACAACCGAGTTCACTTTACGATAAAATCTGGTCGAGCGGGCGAGGAGACATCTGACTTTATGACTCGTAAAAACGTCCTTTACTTATTAAATCAGGTTTGAAAGTAGGCAGCTGATTAGCATTTCAAAAATTCACCAAAGCCAATTTGACTGTAAATAAAATAATAATATAAAAAAGTCGCGCAATTTCGATAGGACTCCATCCGGGTCGAGGAGAAAACAGTAAATTATACATTCAGCTGGAGAGTTACCCGGTTCTATCATTTTTTTAAGTGCGGGTTAACACATCGGTAACCCGCTGTAAAATCGGACGGCATCGATCGGGACTCGAACTGCGTGTCGTGATGAAAGTCTCGCTGGAGTTTTTTTTTCATTACATTCGTTATAGTTAATGACTTCTGGCTGATATCATAATTTTGTAAGGACCACTCCCCTCAGTTTCTGAGATCTTGGCAAAATATCTTTCATCTTTCGAACGTAATTTCCATACCCTAAATCCGCCTCATTCCGAATCGTGCCAAGGAGTAGCCGAATGAAAAATATTTCATATGTATGATGCAACGGTATTTTGGATAGGGATATAAAAAAACAAAGAAGAAACAGGAGGAAAAGATAATGAGTAAAAACACTACCAATCGGGAAAATCACTGATAATGAGTCATTAGGAACTTTGAGATGGAGTAGGATTAACTTAAAAAAAAAACTCCAGATAAAACATCCAGACGCAGCTGATTTTCTGCTGATTAAAACCAAATCATAATTCGCGTTTCTTTTTTAAAAAATTTTGATTATAATTTAATGAATTCAGTGTGTCTGAAAATTTCGAGAGGGTATATTCATGGCTTCCCTCGAAAACAATTGTTTTCTCAGAAAAATTTTAAACGGATTCAACCTGAGTCAAATTGACTTTATTATACGTTACCTGCTTTCTTTGTTTTATTTTTAAAAACAGAAAACTCAACAACATACAGCCTTGAAACTCTACGTACATTTTTCCTCAATGATAAAGCATAATCTCTAACGATTTTAAGTCAGAGTGGCGGCTAGTTTTCTATTAAAAAATGAAACACGTAAAAACCCAAAACAACTTCAAGTTGGCAACACTGGGTTTCATCCATTTAAATGCATAGAAAAAATCGATATCCATCGAGGCAATCTGCTTTACCTGGGATCGATTATTTCTAATGGATTCAAATAGAGGAAAAACAGCATTGCCAGCTCACGAGAATCATCACTGATCACTGTCCAGACTGATATTAAAACGATCAGCTCCTTTACAGCATTCATCTTGTCTTTTAATTCATAGGAGATAATAATTTACAGCTTTGCCACTTACGGTTGAATCACACCTACGGCTCTTTCCCTGAGCACAGCTGCACAGTCAATCAACAGGCCAAAAACACCGCCACACATTACCCAAAAAAATATGAGTCGAGCTATCAGAAACTTGGCGTGGCGTGGAAGCCATTACACCTTATCTTCCGCACTGAGAACAAACGCTGTATGGGCATTCAAACGTTGCCAAATTTTCTCCGATAAAATATGAATTTACTGAAAAACTAACATAGGGTTTTCTTTGAAATTTTCAGCAATGTCATTTGCTGCTCGGTACAATATACTAAAAAATTTCCAGGAAAAAAGCATCCATAATTTCCTTAAAAATTAATATTTAATAGGGAGAAATTAGGCAACGTTTGAATCCTCAAACGTCGTTCTTCCACCGGTCATCTAGACCGTTCCCGACCAACGCAACCGGCAACGTAGCGTCGTTCGCCATGATTGAGGACTGGAGCGAAAATGAGAGGCGTCCCCCTCGCGAGTAAAACCTCGTAACTCCCGCCGGAACCCGGCGTCGGATGCGCGGTTTTGAGGCGCGGGGGCTAATAACGCGGTGAAAAAACACAGTAATAACGCTCGAAAGCGAGGAGGAGGCGGAAGACGGACGGTCCGGGGCCGCACAGTGGATCGAGTCGGTCGGAGAGGTCGGACAAAATTCGGAAACTTTAAGAGCTTATGACTCCGTTTATACAAAATTTAGAGGTTCTAAAAGTGGTTTCGTTGGTTTTCTCGTGAAATTTTCTTCAACACTGAAAAAAAATTCTTGGCGTTTTTACCAAGGTCCGTTGGTACCTTTACCATTTCACTTTTTTTACCAAAACAGACTGGTAAACTTACCTAAAAACCGGTATTTTTACTGTTTTTTTCGGGTAAGAATACCACTTTTATTGGTAATCAATTCCCGGTAACTTTGCCATTTTATCTCGGTAATTCTACCAGTCGATAAAAAATATTTGCGTTTTTACCAAGGTCCAGTAAAATTACCGAGAAAGTTCAATAATTTAACCGAGATTTCTCGGTAAAATTACCAATACCATAAATGGTAATTTTACCAAGAAAAAACTGGGATCAAATAGAACCCTGAATCCTCGGTAATTTTACCCTTTTCTTAGTAAATACACCGAGATTTTTTTTTCAGTGAAGAAACACCCCTTAGAATTTAAAATGTGACGAAATAAACATCAAAATTAGCAGTTTCGGTCGAAAATTTCATGTCCGACCTCTCTTGTGGGCTCGTTCCACTGTGGGCCGGAGCGAGGTCTGGCGGAGGCAGAAAAATAGTAAATAACATACCTGTCAAAACTAACAGATACTTTGTACTTCTTGTCTGGCTCCGCGTTATACGACGGGGTTGAAGGACTGCTCGCCCTCGGAGTGGAGACCACGCCGCTCAGATGGAAACCTGCAACAGGAAAGCTTCAATTAGTCACCGAATCCAAATGATATATCGACCAATTGCATTTGTAATTTACATTTAAAGAGAGTGTGGAATTCGAAAACCTGCTCAGCGCCATCTGGTGTTCCTCAGTTGTGAGCAACATCAATCTACACAGGCCAGTCGTTCCCGAACGTCCTGGTTACACGCTCAAATTTCCGTCAAATTCCGATCAAAATGATGACCAAGATGGCGGTCGAGAGTTATCTAGATTGATAAGTAAAATTAATTAAAACAGCGTGTTGATTGAAGTTAGCACGGTTGTGTGGAAATCAGATGAAGGATGAGCCCCACAGTTCCATCATGTACCATCAAATTTTTGCAGGCTGCAACAAATTGATTGTAGATGGTGCGCACCAGTCACCATTTGATCGAAAATTGATGGGAATTTGAGCGTGTAACCAGCACAAACGACGAGTTTTGGAACTCTACCGCGCAGTGACGTATAGGACTGGTTGTTTGCAATGTATTTCTTATGATAGCAGCCAACGTGACGTCACACTAGCTGCGGCCGAGTTAAGGCCGACCGAGGGAGTGGATTTCAAAAAGATGACTTGTGTGGATTGGTCTTGGTTGTAAGACTGTTTCTCTTGGAAAATGGAATCCAAGGTGACGTCACTACAGGCATTCTCGCTGAAAAGCAGTTTTGGAAAAAAGAACATGCAAGATCAGATCACCCTATAAGTATACGCCGCAGACAATTGGCAATCGCCGGCAATTAGCGATCAAATAAAAACATGTGGAATTCAGAAATAAAGGTATAACAGAAAGTGCTGAAGGAGTAATATAGAAAAAGCTGACTATTATGCTTACATCATTCAGCGTACTCGCCAGTGCGTGCAGCGAAATCAGTGACCAGTGCCCCCAGTTGGGTTCGGCTCGAACAGGCAACTAAACTAACTCCCTGGCAAAGCGTAGAGTATTGCCAAATTTGAAGGCGCTCCCAAGCCGAGTTTATGCTTTCGAAATTCTATATCAATGAAGATCATTGCGATTTGACGCGTTAACACACATTTTTCCAACGATTGCTGACTGCCTGCGAAATAAATTTCTTTCTTAAGTTTCTTTGACTTGAAAAGCTGCCATGGACTCATCCTTCGCTGGAATCTTTCACTCTAAATTCCTTGACTGACAACTGCTTGAGCGCAGCTTCAACGTATATTAAGCTCCTTTCATTTTTCAATTGATTTTAACATTGTTATGAACATTCGGTTAAGTTTTGATCGACAAATTATGAAAATCTGACCAAAATTAAGGATGTAAATAAAGAAAATGAAAACTAACAAAACTTAAATGAAAATAGAACCAAAATTAGCCTCGCGCCGACACAAATGCAAAAAGGAATACGATTCCTTCAGAGGTCCCTCCAGTTTTGAAAAGCTTTCGTGAGCCCTGATTCCGTCCTTGGATTTTCCCACACCTAATTTCTCATGCCAAGAACACGGCCCAATCACTGCTTGGACGCAACTTCAGCGCGAAGTTGAGCGTATTTAAGCTCCTTTCATTTCCGCGCCCTCTATTAATGTTGCTTGTGCAACTTAACTGCTTCGTTGCGATTTTCATTTTGCACAATCGCTTCATCATCCAGACGAATTGCGTCTCGCAGCGGCTCGAGCTGCTTCGCCATCGTCCGGGCGTTGATCCATACGGCTCGTTTTTCTTATCGAGTCGTCATCGTGTCCCGGGCGTTAACGCGTTAACGCTTACTAAGTTTTACCGAGTTCTTTGAAATTGTTCTTCGGTTGCGATTCCACCAATCGTACATTCAATGGCAAAAAATGGACTTTCCGTGGAAAGAAATGCATTGTGCAATGGAGCTGTTCCTGTGTCAGGAATTTGCAATTTAAGCGCTGATTTCTGAGAGAAATTTCGCGCGAAACACGATAGTGCAACTAATTGTCTCTGAAACCAACTCCAAGACTCAAAAAAGCCCCCAAGTTCAGGCCGTAATGGAAGGGATATCCCACGCTACCCTCAGAGCCCACCTCTATATCGAGACAAACTCTCTACGCAAACATAGAGAGCAAATACATTAGTCCCCCAACAAAGTGGCAACCCTGTTTATGTATTTTAGTCTCTGCCTAAAACGTCTTATAGTTTTGCAGGGTAAAAAGTTCTTAGAAAACGATGAAAAACCTGGAAAAAGGTGAGGACATTTTACTCGACCGTGAAAACTCAGGAATTTTTTCTCCGGCGTGCAAACTTTACCTTCAAATTTCATCCAGAAATTTTGATTTGTCTTTGTGCCCTAAGGAAGATAAGATTTTTATTGATTACTGCTTTTAATTTTATGACTTGAGACAAGTAAAAAAATGAGGAAACTATGAGAATTCTCTCTCTGCGAACGTGATTGATTCTATGAAGCCGTCATAAAAAACAGTTTTTGTATCCAACACCTTTCTAGTCACGTTTTTTCCCCCCACAATCAAGGATCTTACAATTAGAATTGATAATTTCTTATGGGAAGCATTTAAATACTGAACACATTCAATTGAAAAAATTTGGGAAAAGTGAAAAAATTGTGCGTTTGGAGACTTTGAAAATGGAGGAAAAATCAGCATTTTTTAAAACCCGAGAAGAAAAAAAACATTGTATTTCACAAATATTAAGAAGTCGATATAAAGATAATAACGTCCTCGTAATAAAGTGACACCATCCGTGTTTATGGCAATGGTGGACGACATTATCATTCTTCGGAAAAATATCCTTAGGTATATGAAAATAATTAATTCAGAGCACTCTTATCCAATCGAGGCTTGTTCTAATTCAATAGAAAGATGAAACCACTAAAGCTCGATCGAGCATAATAGTTCGATTAAAATAAGAAGCATCCCTGGGTACAATGGTCCGTCTGATTGTGGAAGAGGCATTCAAATTCATCCAACCTGCTTTATATTCACCCTACCCACTCGAAACACTAAATTGTACGTATGTACACTCGCTCGCAGAACAGGGTTGGCGATTGTGCAAGAAACCCTTTAGTACTGCCTAACAGAGGGAAAACGCCGTATGGACTGAAAGAAGTTACCAAATTTCTTCTGTTAAGATGCGCATTCTCCGGGAAACTTGAAAATCTTTCTTTTTAATTTTTCGGAGAATTTAACAAGAAATTTGCTCTAGTGTATTACTTTGAAAGTGTTTTTTTTTCTCTTGAATTGAGCAGGTCAAAAAATGGGGAAATAAATTGTGTAAAGCACCCCAAGGCTTCACCACAAAATAACTTAAAATAAAGATCCTGTAAATTTTGACGTGGATGGCCTCAAAAAATCGGATTTTTTTTTTCCTTACCTAAAAACGGTTTGATTACTGGCCATTGCGGAACTTTCAAGAATCACTGAAATACGTAGAAATTTGCCGAGCCACAAACATGCTAAAGACATGGTAAATTTTCAAAAAAATGGATAAAAAACTTGTTGCAGAAAGAAACCACAGCAAATTTTTTATAGCCTTTTGAAAATTGTAAATCGTATGTACAGCCGCCGCCGTAACGAAGACCTAGCTATTACCTGGATATTTTATTGTTTTTCAAAAATAATGTCCGGACACATTTCATGAGCTTTCATTGAATTTAATATATTTGCTGGTAAAATCCCCACAGTTTGTCTCTAAAATGAACACTTTATCCGGGTCAATTTGGCAAATTCTGTGCACACACGGACACGGTTTTCTTCCTAGTTAGAAGCAGCATTCAGGTTCATCCGAGTGATTCGACAACGTCGAGAACAGCTGCTGGACGTAAACAGGTCCGGTTTAAAGGTGAATGCTACCTTTCAATTCGGTAATTTCGCTTAAGTTCGTCAGCGATAAATATTTAAAACTAAGCACTGGTCTCGACGAGCTTTGGTTGATGAAGTCGGTAGAGCTAGACCGATGCTATCGGTCGCGGAAAAACGTCGCATGAGCATTAAGACGTTGCCATAATTCCACTAATTAAGCAAGAATATTCTAGAAATCTAGTGAATGTTCATCGTCAAACTTTTCAGAAAATTTTGGTCACAATTCAATCCATCGTGTTTGAAAGTTTTGAGGAAAAATAATCATACATTTCTCAAAAATAAATATTTTATTGGGGGGAAATTTGGCAACATTTAACGGTTCTTACGTCGTTCTGCCTCTCCATGGCAGAATAATTAAAATGCGAAGCGCTGATGACCGGTTATGCTAAGAACCGTCTTACCGCCTCATCAGGTTCTATCATGCTGATCGGTACCTTTTTTTCTGGATCTGAGCGAGGCAACTTTTTTTCGCTCTCCTTTTTCCAGACTCTCACACTCGAACCACCCACTTGTACAGAAGTATGTTGAGATGAATGTGAAATTCATGCCTGAGGCGGAGATTTTTAATTCAATCATTCATACCCGCGTATGTGAAATTTTAAGAAAAATACTATTGACGATAGTGCCAATGATTCTCTCTGTCTTCGACTATCAAGCTGAAGAAAGCTCTTTTAATTGAGACCGTAATGGAAGAGCACTAGTACTCTTAACGTCCTGGTAAGTAGTAACGCAAGGTAACACAGAGACATCAAACACGGAAGTTTTCAACTGTGCACACTGATAAAAATATCTGTGTTCTTGTGTTACTTTTGGTCATTACAGGAGGTGAAACACAAATCAACATAAAGTTCGAGTTGATTTTAGTACAGTTTGCAGTGAATTTAGCGCAGAGAACAATGGAAAAACTGGGAAATGCATTCCTCCGATTGAGATGTTAGTTTGCATTTCTTCAAGAAAACTAGCTGGCATTTTCTTTTCAAATTTTCAACCGAAGGCTAGGGTTATTTTGTGTTTTACATCCCATATTAGCCAAACTTTTGTGTTGAAAATTCTCACTGTGTAGAAGTGGTATCAAGACTCCGGAGGGACGCAACGACCACCGAAGAGCTCCTAATGTTCGCATTCGTTCTGGACGAGCCAGGAGTTCCACCCCGTGGCACTGGACCATCCATCACTTGGCACCACTGCACA